ATAATTTGGTAAAAAATTTCCAGGCACTTACTATGCAAACAAAAACAGTTCGCTCGGATTTTTCTTGGCCGGCAAGTCAATGACATTTATCCCAGTTAGTTCACACACATTATCCGTTCTTTGGTTAGATATATTATAAGCATATTCCATCTTTCATGGAAGTAGATAACTCGTTGAATAACGTTTACATTGCATGATGAATGATTATTATTAAATTTTTTTACCAAATTATTTTGATAACTAAAATTTTTAACGAATAAAACAAATTCAAGTTAGCGGGTTCCATATTTGCCAGCAACATGGGGGCTCCGAACGTGGTGGGTCTCAGCGGGTCAGCTGCTGCTTCAGGGTTTGCTCCCGTCATGTTTGAGTGGCAAGTTCGTTGTAAAATAATCAAACACATGTTTTTTTAATTATTTTAATTTTCAACATAATTTTCATTAATTTAAATTTCTATATATTATGCCTTACCTTGTTATTAAATAGACGTTTGTAAAAAAAAAAAAAAAAAAAAAAAAAAACAATTTTTCGAAGTATTTTCATATCAAATTGGTTGGCCCTTTTCAACAGTTTCAAAATTGGCAAATTGTTTGCAGTTTTTCTGTTCGAAAATTTGAAGTTTTTTCTATTTTGTTATTTTGATTTTCAGTTTTTTTAATGGAATTATGTTTCTTTGTTTGTTTCTTCCAGGCAATAATTGCACTGATTGCTCTTGGTTGGATATTTGCTCCCATTTATTTAGCATCAGGGGTTCGTTCATAAAGTTTTAGTTGGCATTTTTTAAGATGTGTTTGTCAACAATATGTCTAAATTCAAATTTCAATTTTAAGACAAGTTCTTTTTATAACTTTTCAATTAAAGACGTACACGATGCCAGAATTCCTTCAGAAGAGATTCGGAGGAGCGAGGCTGAGAATCTGCTGCTCGATCGCCCAACTTCTCATCGGAGTCATCACCGGTATATCGGTAGGATTGTACATCTCGTATTTACGTTTATGCGGATTTTTGCAATTTTTTTTGTCTTATGTTGTCCAATTTCATTTTTCTTGACAGATTTTAGTTTAAAGTTCTTATACTTAAAATTGATAATTTTACTTACTACAAAGTCCAACATCAATTATTTGGATAATAATTACTATGAATGAATAACCGTAAATAATGTATAAATATTTTTGATTGCCCATCGAGCGTTTTATTCATCACTTTCACAAATTATTGTAATAACATTTGATAACAACACTTTTCAGTAGCAAAACAATGAGGATTAAATGTTTATGTTATAGGTTTAGTTTTTTTTTAACTCTTTAGTTAACGACAAGCGTTTCTAAAAATTACAAAACTATGGTAAGATAATATCTCTACCTTCAATCTCCATTTGAAAAAAAACATCGAAATAAATGACCAAATGCAAATTTCAGCCAATTACGTGCCTACATTTTCCACTCGATTAAAATGTTTGCAATCAATTTTATCGAAATAAGAATCAATGCTCTTACTTTTTTCAATGAATACCTGAACATAGTAAGCTGTGTTTTTAATTATAAACTGAATAAAAGAACTTTGTACGTTCTCAGATGGAGATTTATGCAGCCAGTATTTTCCTGCACAAACTTTTGGGATGGAATGTTTATTTGTCGACAGTAATAATTCTCGTAATCACCGCCATTTATACCATTGGAGGTATATTTTTAATAACACATACTTCAGACTCATCATCACGCAGCACTTTTCAAACATATGACCAAAATTTTTAACAGGAGGCCTAACAGCTGTTATATACACAGACACGTTGCAAGCGGTCATTCTTGTCGTTGGAACCGCTGTTGTCAGTGTTAAAGGTTGATGGGTTATAAGCATAAAATTAAATAAACCAAAAATAATGTATAAAATCATTGGTTCATTTTGGATTATTTTGGATTTTCCAGCTCTGATGGAAGTAGGAGGGTACAACTCTATGTTGGAACAATTTCAAAAAGCAGCTTCCAATATGACATACGTAGAACATCAACTCTACAACAACCTCTCTTGTGGTTTTCCACCTGCCGATTCATTCCACGTTTTCAGAAGCACCGAATCTGACTTCCCATGGCCTGGTGTTGTCTTTGGAATGATACCCCTGGCTATTTATTGCTGGTGCACTCAACAGGTTGAGAAATAAGGAAATTATTAATAAAAAGTAAGGTAAGTATTTTAATAAAAGATATAACTCTAAATAGCGGGAAATATTTTTCGTGAAGTTTTTTTGAGTAGTTTTCAAATTATCAAGGTGATCGTGCAACGAAATTTATCAGCGAAAACAGTTATCCACAGCAAAGTGGGATGTTTGTTGGCTGGGTACCTGAAGATCCTTCCATTCTTCCTCTTCATCATTCCTGGCATGATAAGTAGAATTCTGTATCCCGGTGTGTAGTGTTTGAAAAGATTTTTGTTCTATGTATATACATTAGTGTAGTTGTATGTTCATAAATTTGTTTAATGATGTTTATATGAAAACTCTATCAACACAAATAGTAATTTCATAGATAAATTTTGTTGGAATTGAAATCGAAGTTGTATTTTACAGATAGTTATTTGATTTAGTTGAATTGATAACCTGAACTTATTAATTTTTTAAACTTTATTAACATTCGTTAATCTACCATTTCTCATCACTTATTGTAGAAATTAATCTGTTTCCTATTAGACGATGTTGCCTGTTCTTCTCCGGAAATATGCCAAGAAAAATGTGGGAACCCAGCTGGATGCACCAACATCGCCTACCCAATGCTGGTTTTGAACATTCTGCCAAAAGGTTTACAAACATTTTTATAAGTAATGTTTCAAAGAAATTTAAATTTTATAAACATTATACGAAACAGGAGTCAAAGGTCTGATGTTGGCGGCTCTCCTGTCTGCACTGATGAGTTCATTAACATCGTACTACAACAGCGGTTCCTCGCTGTTCACACTGGACATCTATTCACATTTCAGAAAGAAAGCATCTGAACATGAAAAAGTTTTGGTCGGACGATTGTTCGGTCTCTTTTTAGTGTGCTTGAGTGTAGCTTGGCTGCCCATTCTGCAGTCTGTACAAGGAAATCAGCTCTGGAATTATACCCAAGCTATTTATTCTTACTTGACTCCTCCTTGGACGGTTGTATACCTGTTGGGAATGTTCTGGACACGTGCAACTGAACAGGTTTATGTTTTCGTTGATTTACTGTTATTATTTAGATGTTTAAAAGTAATTTGACGTTTTTGTTTAATTGGTCAAATAACTTTTAAAACTAGTTTTCCTATCGATTTAATCTTTAACCGTTTTTAACGTATCCAATTTTAAACCATAACAAATTAATTAAATTTTATCGTAATACTAGTGAAATTAGACAACTAAAATCACATTTTCATGTTTCTAACTCAATCTACTGTCGGGTTCGTCTTAAATATCTTTGAGATTTTATCAATTCAATAACTAAACACGTGCAACTTTTTAAGAAATTATGGTTGGCGACCATTTAACTGAAATGTTAACTCTTCAAAAAATTTGGTTGACGACGAAGGTGTTTTGACGCTTCAAATAAATTATTAACTTTTAATATAACAAACTGTAATTCCAGCAAACAAATCAATCATCAATTTCTTTAAGAGTGGTATCAAAGCGCCAATACCAGGTACACTTTGGTTTTGCAGCGCTTAACTCTTTTGTTTCACCGAACAAGCGAACCCTGACAAGAACTAAAAATACAATTTATCACATTTGTTTGTGCTTCAAACGCAACAAAGTTAAATTAAACAATGGGCGTTTTTCTTTCTTATTTTATTAGAATCATCATCAGCATCGATATGATGATTTTTTTGAAATTTTTGAAGCATATGAAATTTTTTTTTGGAGTGTTTTGTTACAATCATAATCGTCACTGACACATCACAATGAAGTTAAAAAAGTTGGTTTTATTGATGTACTTGTGTAAGAAGCTTCAAAGAGATTGGCGCTTTTCATTATTTTCGTGTGCATGAAACTTTTAAATTTATTATTAAATAGCTATGTCAATATTTCAATGCTGGTTTGTGATGATACAATATGAGAAGAAATAAACAAAAGTCAATAGCATCTTCAATAAATCTGTTTTATTTATTTATTATTTCATTAAATGATTAGTTTTATTGAGAAAATCATTTATAAATATCGAAAAAAAACAAAACGGCCTTTTTATTGTTTAAATAATTTGTTCATAATTTTCTAAATTCTTATTGAATAAAAATATTGTGATGAAACGATGTAGGGTGCATGGTGGGGGCTGATAGTTGGATTGGTCGCTGGCCTCATAAGAATGGGTCTCGATTTCAGTTACAAAAGTGCTCACTGCGGCGGTTCTGAAATAGTTGAGAGACCAGATATTCTTGAGAGAGTAAGTAGTGCAAACTTTTTTTCATTATCCAGTTTTATTCAATTTTGTTTTTGTAACTGAAATCGAGAACCGACACTGTTAACCCGATTTTAAAAAGATTAAAAATAAAATTGTTTGGTTCCATTTGGTTATAGTTTGAATGCTATCATTTTAACTATAAATAATATTTATTTTCTAGAAATGCCATCTAGGAGACCGAAATCAGCTTAACTGATAGCGTGAATTTATTTTTGAATGCTTCAAAATCGTTTAAACGCATAGATTAAATGTTGTTTTAAAATCGTTCTTTCAAGACGTTTCTTGCCTTATTTAATATAAGATGATAAAAGTATGATCAATTTAAATAGGCTGTTTAAAAAATTCAATCAGAAATTTTCAAAATACTACTAACAGGTCCACTTTTTGGTGTTCGCCGTCATCTTGTGCGCCATCACGTTCATAGTCATGGTGGCTGTCTCCTTCATCACGCAAGGACAATCATTGAAGGAGGTGACATTTCCATTTGTAATTTTTTGAAGAAACATTAATTTTTATAAAATATTCTGATTATAAATTTGCCAAATTATAGCGTACAAGTGTTTCTTTTTTTAAATAATATGTAATTATTGATTTATATCATACCGGACTGAATTGAAGTTGGAAAGAGTTACTTGGTGGACCAGGAAAAGCAAATTATCTCTCAACTTGACAGATGGCAGGATTCGGGAGACCGAAACAAGCCTGGTTGGGCTAAATGAAGAAAATAATAGTCTGTATATTTCGGCTATTGAAAATCTTGTTGTAACCACAGATTCAATTAAAAAAGATGGCTAGTATTAAATAGTTTTATATGGTAGCACCAAATTTTAAGTAATTTTATTAAAATTTTAACGTCCAAATTTCTTCCAATTTTAATTTTCACAAAATGTATGACTCTTAAAATTAAACTTTTAGGTTCTTCTTCGCCTGTTAAGAAGCATCCCTTAGCGTGGAGAGCATACGCTTTCATGTGTGGAGCAACATTGGAAGATGACCAGAAGATAATGTCTGAAGAAGAAAGAATGAAAGTATACAGAGAGATGACGAACGTCAATGAAGATCCCTTCTGGTCACGAGTTTGCGACATCAATGCACTTATCTTATTAGCCATTCTTTGTTTTTTATTTGGTTTTTTCAGTTAGGTATTCATCCAAATTATAATTTTACTGAAGGTTTATCTTTTTTCTCCAAATTTTATTCCAAGGAGTTACTTATTTTGGAACTTTTTTGGTGTTAGCTAGAACACTAGATATGTTTGATAGAAAATGAAATTGTTAATAAATAAATCGGTGAAACGAGCAGAATTAAATTTTTTTGAAAAAGTGAGGTAGTGCCGATAGGTTTAATAAACTTTTATGGTGTGTGTAAAAAATTAGCTGTGTGAGTGACTGAATAATTTGAAATAAACAATTTCTTTGAAAATGATTAAAAAACAAACTTGTTCACCGATTCGAAAACCTTATTTTGTCAAACTGTTCTAGACCATCATCAACTTTTTATAGAGTTAAAGAGGCGTGGTACAGTTAAAAAGAAACAGTTGATCCTTGACATGATAAGACGGCGAGCAAAAATTGAGATGACGCCAGGTGTTAGGAAATGCCTATAATCTTAACTAAAATACTTTGTCAAGAGGTATAAAATGAAAACTTTAGTATGAACATTCAGTCAAAACTAAAACACAATTACAAATTATACCTGACCCACCTACTAAATCATGGTCCCTTGACTGTTTACCTACACAGATTATTACGAAGTTTATTGACAGGTTTTTGTCTTTTTATACCTTTTCAATCAATCTGTGCCTTCTTTCTGGCTTTTTTTCATTAGGTGTAAATATGTCTGTTTAGATTTTAGTCGGTTTAAAATTGGACTGCAAGGTTGGTTCCAGGTGGCCTTAATAACAATCACGTGAAGCTCATTCTTTTTGTTTTTCACTGGCTTTCGGTTCATCAAAAAATTATTTTCAAGATTTTTTTAACGTTTTTTAAATGTATTAATAGATTTGCCCTAAAATAATGAACTGATAGTGTCAATCTTAAGACTGTGCCACTGCTGAGTCAAACATTGCGCTCTGACAATTCAGGTTCACTGTTTTTACCTGACACGAACATGGCTTTTGGTCAAAGGAATTTCTCCGTAATGGATCCTGCTATCTGGAATGGTTTGCCTAGGGACCATCGTGATCCTGCGTTGTCTGTCATTCAATTTCTTGAAAGGTTGAGACACCATCTTTTTGTACAAGCTCACCCGTGCTAATGTCTTTTTCTCTCCATTCATTGCATTGCTTTAGTAAAGTGCTACGCATTGTACTGCAATAGTCGTTAGCGCCTCTGAAACCTTTTTAAAAAGCGCTTACAAATACACCAATAATAATAATATTACTATTATTATATTATTTATTGATTAATATGGGCGGCGTAGTTGCCTAATGGTTAAGAACGCCTGTTGATGTTTCGTGATATCTGTAGTTACCGGGTTCGAATATGACAAAAAAATTTCGCCTGTCACATGCTTCGTATGTGATCCGTCATTCGTAAATTAAAAATTTAATTAAATTAAATTATTAATTTAATTTAAAATGGTTGATGTAAATAATTATAATTTTTTAGAAATATTTTTAACAGCTGAATAAATGTAGCTTGTAATTAAAAATTTAATTAAATTAAATTATTAATTTAATTTAAAATGGTTGATGTAAATAATTATAATTTTTTAGAAATATTTTTAACAGCTGAATAAATGTAGCTTGTGCTTTAAATATTTCATAGAGAGGTTAATGAGGATTATATAACAGCTAATGAAAATATATTTTGATAATAAAATGCTTGAAGGTCGTTTTTACGTTTTACTCAATAGTATCAACCACGCACGTGACGAAAACCACAACTAAAACTGATCATTAAAAATTTGAAATTACAACAAAACATAGTTAGTCAGAATCTTTGTTGTTGTATGAATGACCGTTTGACGATGTGAAAAAAGAATGCATGATGGTAGCAGAGCAGACATTAACTTCAATGTTTGAAGTAGTTACAACAATTGAAAACCATTTTGGCCATCCTTAACGTAAGTATTTAAAATTTGTCTGCTTATTTCTGAGTTTATTTTGCAATTGCGATCGTCAAAATATCCAAATTTTTCAACTCCCGTCGTCGTACATTTCAATTTTATTAAAACTGTGAAAGTGGTATCGTTTAGACTCATAGGGTTATTACCCGAGGCAGAGTAATTACATTCATTTGATTTAATCTATCGCTGATATATCTACTGCATTAACTTTTTTTCAAATTCACAATAACGCGTCATGAATTTAAAAACAGTCAGGTTGGTTAATAGGAACGGTAACGAAATTAGACATTGGCCAAGTTTTGGTGTGGTCTAGTTAAGCGGCTTCCGATGTATTTCAAAGATGTTCAAACTCATTAAAGAGCAACAACAAATTCAGAAAATTGAGAAAAATAAAAGTGACATTTTGGATTGAAGTATCAATCGTATGAGACGAACAACGGTGGACAGAGACGTTTCGATATTATTTACTAAAAATATAAATCTTTGTCAATAGAAAAGTCAATAAGCCTTACTAACAGAGATGTTTTCGAGTGTTTTTTAAAGTGCAGGCACGAATACTCAGGCCTCAAATACAAATACAAGTACTATAGCTAAAGTACAAGTATGAGTAATTTTATCTCAACTGCTAAAGAACAAAGAGAAACACAACAAATAGAAAATAAATAATTTTTACTTCAAATCAATAAAAATTCAACCAAATATATTGTTACTAGGATATTGTGCCGGATTTTCATCTTTCAAATAAAGCCAGTTTTATTCGGATCATCAACACAAATCAAACCAGAGTCGTAGTCGCAGGCAAGTTTGTGCACAGCTCATTTTGTTATAATTTGTGACTATGGCTTCACTGGCTTGCTTACAGTACGTTTCAAACCCAACGTTAAACCTTGTTATATTACATTCCATCTCACTCAACATAAGAAACATATTGAACTATCAATTGCAATGGGCATCAACATTCGAGAAAGTAATTAAAGTCAAGTAGGCAACACATTTTAGCGAGCAAATTACATTGAAAATCTATCACGTAAACAAATCGAAATTAATTCATAGTTATTAGAATTGTTACTAGACCAACCTTTTTTCGTAATCCTAACGGAAAAAGTGTGATATCCAAATCGATTGATAAAGATTTTATCAGTTAGCATAACAAACATAAAAATTGATCTTATTGATAATATACAGATAAAGAATACTAGCAAGCTTGGAAATTTTATTCCTATCTACGGTAAAATTGGAGTTAATGTTGACATTCGTTCGTGTACTTTATTTAACATGAATCTTAAGCAATGTAAAATCACACAAAATTACCCTACATATTAAATTACACAGACACAGACGGACACACACACTTACAATCTTAATTATATTCATATAAGTTTTTATATATTATAAATGTTCAAGCATTTCTTAAAAATATTGAAAAAAAATCTGAAGAGAACAAAGTTGTTGCAATGTTTGCGTCACAAAATTCAAAAGTTTATTTTTAATGATAATTGAAATCAGTGTAAATTTTGTTTTCTACAATAAATAATATTTATTTTATCTATCAAAATTTGAAATTTCAACAAACCAATTCTTACGGTTCTTTTTTTATTTTGTTTAAAGTTTTATAGTTTCTAAACTATTTTTAAGGAACTTACTGATATCGTTTATTTTATATAATTATAATATTTTCCCATTAATCCAAACAACAATGACAGATGGGTTATTTGGAATGGTTGGATATATGTATCATTGTTGCTTATTTTGTGGTTATTCTTTCAGTTGGACTGCTAGTTGGTCTTATTTTAAACAAAATTATTTTAATCAAAATTCATTTTACACTTTTTTTATAATTGAATTTTTAATATTTGACAGATAGTTAAACAATTAGACAAAAATTAATTTTTGAATCTTAAACATCTAACTAACGAGCCAAAACTTGTAGAAGGAATGATATGGGAGAATATTTGTTGGTGCAAACATGTGACCACTCACTCATTTTTTTCAGGCAACTTACTATGCAAACAAAAACAGTTCACTTGGATTTTTCTTGGCCGGCAAGTCAATGACATTCATCCCAGTTAGTTCACACCCATTATTTTTCTATTGGTTAGATATGCAAAAATCTTATTCAATCTTTCACGAAAGTAAATAACTCGTTTTTAGAAATCATTATGTATACATAGAATGGATAAATATTTTTACCACTTCTAATTATTTGAATATTTGATATTTTCACGAATAACCCAACCGCTTGAAGATAGCGGGTTCCATATTTGCCAGCAACATGGGGGCTCCGAACGTGGTGGGTCTCAGCGGGTCTGCCGCTGCTTCAGGGTTTGCTCCCGTCATGTTTGAGTGGCAAGTTCGTTATAAACATTTGTCTCTTTGAATATAACAATTTTTAAAATATTTTTTATCACGATATTTACGTTTCATTATGCTTTTCTGCATTCCAAACTGTGGCCACAAAATAAATACTTTAAAAAAATTTCCTAGATACACATGTAAATTGAATGTAAGCAGCTAATCAAGTTTACTCTTGTTTGCGATCCATTCATTTGATCAATTTTCCGCAAACTTTTGGAAAATATGAATTAATTGAAATTGGATAGTGTTAATATATTAATAAAATTGTCGGTCAATGCGGAAAGATAAAGCTGATTTCAAATCTACAAATCGTAAATATTATCTTGTTGATTCATTGCTTAAATATTATAATGACAATACAAATTCAACATCATCTCAAATAAAAAAAATTTTATGATAAGGCACTAGAATTAGTCTCTTAATAAAAAAACGAACGTAATCATTGATGCTTAAATTATAATATGTAATAAAATCAAAACACTTTATTAACTTAAGAAATGAAGTTAGTTTATATTCTTTTGGCACGATTTTTCAAGCAGTTTTTATTTGACCCAACAGCACATCAACCCTGAATTGAAATGTAACAACACAAATGTAGTCCAATTTTAAGTGCATGAAATAGCAAAGATATATTAATTAAAATTCAAAACTTTGCTGTAAACCAAATGTTGTCGATCTTATTTAAAATGTCAATTTTTTTATTAAAGCATTAAAAGAACTTTTAATTTATAAATTGACTGAGCTGTAACCCTTGGATTCTCATCTACCTTTTAACATAATAACGATATTCAACAAATTGCATAGTTTCTGTTCAAAAATTTTAGTTTTCTTGTATTACTATTTACGATTTTTAGAATATTTATAACAAATAGAAATATATCATTTATTCAGGCAGTGTTTGCACTAGTTGCTCTTGGTTGGATTTTCGCTCCAATATATTTAGCATCGGCGGTTTGTTTTTATTGCTTCAGTTGAAATTTTGTTAGAGCGTTTGTAATGAAAAATTACCTAATTTCAACTTAAATTGTAACTTGAATTCAACAAAGTTATATTACTTTTCAATCCATTAAAGACGTACACAATGCCTGAATATCTTCAAAAAAGATTCGGAGGATCAAGACTGAGAATCTGTCACTCAGTCATTCAACTTCTCCTTACAGCGATCTGTGGTATACCGGTAGGATTTCGGAACAATTGTTTCCCTACTGTCGTATATATAGAATATACATATATAGGAAATCAACATTATATAACATTGAGCAGCCGATAATACTATGCATACAAGCGCGCAGTTATAATTCATAGACATAATTGTAAACACAAGCAGCACGAACTAACAAGCGTTTCTATCCTAATTATGCATACTTTCGACAAAATAATAAACTGTCCAGTTTTTAAGACAAATTAATATAGCTTATTTATAAAATATAAATTCTGAAATTATTTTAGCGTTAATTAGATTTATGAAAAACATGAAAAACTAAAATAATATAAGAATATATTGAAATAAGAGAAAAAAAGCGAACACTGCAAAAACATTTTTTTAGACCTAGCGATTGAAAAAACTTTCTGATCAAAGAAGCTAAAATTATTACAAAACAGTTTTTGTAACATTAATAAGTTATTTGTTATTATAATAAGTTTATACCAAAAGCAAAATAAACATAAATAAATGATTTGTGAAGTTTTAATTAAACATGTTACCTACAACACGTTCTGACGTTCTGACAAAACTCAGATGAAACAGAACGACCACGTGTGACTCGAACTCTGCAATCAAAATTTAGATAAAAACACAAATTTGAACTAGTAATATGTTTTTAACTTACACAAGATTTAAAAGTTTTCATCAAATTTTAGAAATACATAAAATATTATACTTTTTCAGGAATATAAGAATAGGCAGTTTTGTTTTCAATTATAAACTGAATAAAAGAACTTTGTACGTTTTCAGATGGAGATTTATGCAGCCAGTATTTTCATGCACAAACTTTTGGGGTGGAATGTTTATTTGTCGACAGTAATAATTCTCGCAATCACCGCTGTTTATACCATTGGAGGTATATTTTTAATAACACATACTTCAGACACATCATCACGCAGCACTTTTCAAACATATAACCAAAATTTTTAACAGGAGGCCTAACAGCTGTTATATACACAGACACGTTGCAAGCGGTCATTCTTGTCGTTGGAGCTGCTGTTGTCGGTGTTAAAGGTAAGTCATTTTCTTACATAGAATCCCAGTTTTTGAATAAAACTAGCAATCAGAAAATATTGTATAGACTTGTTGATTCAATTAGATCACAGTTTGTTTCCGATTTACTAGCAATGATAGAAGTAGGAGGGTACAATTCCATGTTGGAACAATTTCGAAAAGCAGCCTCTCGACACACGTACATCGAACATCAACTCTACAACAACCTCTCTTGTGGTTTTCCACCTGCCGATTCATTCCACGTTTTCAGAAGCACCGAGTCTGATTTTCCTTGGCCTGGTGTTGTCTTTGGAATGATATCTCTGGGTATTTACTGCTGGTGCACCCAACAGGTTAGAAAATATGAAATCAATAACGATCTCTACGAGACTTATTTATACGTTTATTTTATAAGATGAAAATGTAGAATTTTAAGAGTGGAAAATACTTGGCTTGAAGTTTTTCAAGGTAGTTTCCAAAACGGTACACTATATTTAAATATTCTTTAAGGTGATTGTGCAACGCAACTTGTCAGCAAAAACAGTTCTTCACAGCAAAGCGGGATGTTTGTTGGCTGGGTACCTAAAGATTCTTCCATTCTTTCTTTTTATAATTCCTGGCATGATTAGTAGAATTCTTTACGCTGGTATGTAGAGTTTGAGGAAACTATGTTTTGCTTATATTAGTAAATTTCTATATTTGAAAATTTTATCTTAGATGTTTATATGAAAACTACAACATCAAAATAAAAATAATTTAAAAAATATTTACTGGTAAAGTCTAAAATTGAATAAAATAATAATTTGGGTCAAGGTTGAATTGATCAATTTTATTCAAACTTTAATTGCAGCATTCATAAATCTTGATTTCTTGAATTGTATAAATATCTTGCTCTCAATTAGACGATGTTGCCTGTTCTTCTCCGGAAATATGCCAAGAAAAATGTGGAAACCCAGCTGGATGCACTAACATCGCCTACCCAATGCTGGTTTTGAACATTCTCCCAAAAGGTTTACAAAACTTATAGAACTGATGTGCAAACTTACTTAAGAGTTAATTTTTTAACAGCATACTGATAAGCCGCTGTGAGCGAACTAATGTATTTTATTACACACAAGAAATGAACGGATTGTTTTCAATTTTGTTATGAATTCAAAATTTGGCACCATTATAGACTGCGCTTTCGGGAAAAGTGAACAACAAATTTATTACGTAAGAATAAAAATAAATCAAAACATGAAAATTGCTAAAAATCTTATTATCTTAAGTTATTATTATAACATCGAATAGCATTCATAGCATCACGAAAATGAAGACAGTGTTATTTTGAATCAGCGTTCTCTTGCAATCAACTTACCATTAGAAAAGTATTAGTGATAACATTTTGCCGTGTCTCTTGCATTGACTTTTAGTCATAAACGTGAAATCAGACCTTATACGAAACAGGGATCAAAGGTCTGATGTTGGCGGCTCTCCTGTCGGCACTGATGAGTTCATTAACATCGTACTACAACAGCGGTTCCTCGCTGTTCACACTGGACATCTATTCACATTTCAGAAAAAAGGCATCTGAGCTTGAAAAAGTTTTGGTCGGACGATTGTTCGGTCTCTTTTTAGTGTGCTTGAGTGTAGCTTGGCTGCCCATTCTGCAGTCTGTACAAGGAAGTCAGCTCTGGAATTACTCACAAGCTGTTTATTCTTACTTGACTCCTCCTTGGACGGTTGTCTACCTGTTGGGAATGTTCTGGACGCGCGCAACTGAACAGGTTCAAGCTTTATTACTTTTTTATTAATATAATTTTAATTTAAAATTTTTTGTTATTTCAATCATTAATGGACACGATTTAAAAAAAATTCCTGTTCAACCGTTCAAGAAACGGACGATTGTTTTAATATTTGAATATTTCATTTATAAATAAGTAAATTATTATTGATGTTAAATATTGTGATGAAATGATGTAGGGTGCATGGTGGGGGCTAATAGTTGGATTGGGCGCTGGTATCATAAGAATGGTTCTCGATTTCAGTTACAGAAGCGCTCAGTGCGGTAGCTCTGAAATAGTTAAGAGACCAGATATTCTTGAGAAAGTAGGTGCTGTTGTGAAGTTTTTCCTTGTTATTATTTTTATTAATTAGTTAAAAACCGATTGTATTATTTATATCGACCAAGTTGTTTTTTTTTAAATGTGACGTGACACCTTTGTTATCTTTTTAACATCCAGTGTTCCATCTTTTAATTTTTTGTATGTGCGATCAACATCCTTTCTTAATTTTGAATTAATCAAAACGAACTGTAGTAGCAATCTCACCAACGTACTTATGTGCAGTTCGCTTGCTTTGACCATCCTAAGTCAAAGTTTGTGACCATTTTCAGCAAGATGTACGAATAGAAAAAAATTATTGATGAAAAATGTTTTCAAATTGAAAATCTTTAATAGCTTGAAATCTATCATATTCATAATCATAATCTTAATTTTTTACTTTTGTCCAGATTGAAAATTTTTAACGTTTTATAACATTTTAAAAATAAAATTTCTTTAAATCCCTGCTAAAGTGCTGTTTATGTAGATTGATATTGATATATTAGATAAGCATTAAAAGAGGTAACAAATTTTCTCCCTTTAAAATTGAATTAGTTTCATTATTTTGTAAACATCATCGAACACTAGGCCAATGTTGTAGATTTGTTTCAATTATTTCAAGTTACATGGAATGCTATTTTAAAATGTTATTTAAAAATATAACAATCACTTTGTCAAATTAGTTGTATAAGAAAATAAAAAACAATTTTCAAACATTTATTCTTAAATTTCCTGACAAATCTTCGTCACGCTGCAGGTCCACTATTTGGTGTTTGCAGTCATTTTGTGCGTCATAACGTTCATTGTCATGGTGGTGGTCTCTTTCGTCACCAAAGAACAACCACTGAACGAGGTGAAGTTTCAGTTTTTGTTATTTTTTCAAATTATGAAATTATTTCATACAATTCATTTAAATATAAACATCTCAAATTATTTTGTACATGTTTCAACAATCTTTAAGATACAACATGAAAATTGTATACGTAATTCCAAACCAACCGCAGCTAGAAAGAGTTACTTGGTGGACCAGAAAGAGCAAATTATCTCTCAACACGACAGACTGCAAAACTCAGGGATCCAAAACAAGCATCGGTGAGCTAAATGAAACAAACAATGCAAGTTCGCAAATTGCGATTGTTGAAACTGTTGATGCATCTATTAAAAAAGATGGTTGGTATTAAATAATTTTATTTAAAAGCGCTAAATTTGTCCGTTTGGAGTGATTTAAATAAAAATCTCATCTCTTGAATCTTTTCCCTCTCCGATTTGATTTCACGGTTGGTTTAGATTTCACAATATGTTTGATTCTTAAAATTTAAATTTTTTTAGAATCGTCCCTTCCAGCTAAGAAGCATTCCTTGCCATGGAGGGTGTACGCTTTCATGTGCGGAGCAACATTGGAAGATGACCAGAAGAAAATGTCGGAAGAAGAAGAAATGAAAGTTTACGAAGAGATGACGAACATCAATGAAGATGCATTTTGGTCACGTGTTTGCGACATCAATGCACTTATCTTATTGGCTATTATTTGCTTTCTAATTGGTTTTTTCAGCTAATCTTAATTTTTATTGAGATTTTAATTTGATGTTTCGATTTTTCTAATTTGCGCAATGTATGTGAAATGGGAAGGTTAAGTTACAAACTCAACAATTTGATGTTCGTAAATGATCGCACATAATGATGAGGATTAAATTCTAATTGTCTTAAACTGAATATAATCACTGAAGAAGAAATTTCTTATTACATTTCAGTAAATAAACATTTGATCGATTTTTCAGTCAGAACTTCATAAAACGAATTTTACGTTTATATTTCTGGCTTTGAAACTTGCATAGCTTATAACCGTTACTCCTGACATTAGCCACCATGTTGTTCAAATGTATTTATAGTTTTATACACTTACCTAGATGTTGCTTGGCTATTTATTTAAAATAATCTGTCGAATCATTTTCAAACATCTAACAACACCTTAATGAATAAATGAAGAATAAATATATTCAATTTTATCTACAATAATTGTACAACCACTATAATATATTTCCATTTTTCAGTTTATATTTTTTTAATAAATTGTATTTGATTTTAACAACTTACTACACTCTAAGCTGAAATAAACTGTAAAAAATCTTAAAAATAACGTGGGGGTCCTATTATCTTCCTTGCTCAACGGTCTTCAGAACTTCAAATCCGACCTTGAGTGCAAACTGTACGATCTACAGTTACACTGCTTTCGATGTTTTGATAAATAATAATAATACATTATAAGCAAGGGGTCGACATTGTTACGATACAACGTGCAATATTAAGCTGAAACGTTTACTTCAGAACATGTGCTGTAATAAAAATTTTGATGTATACAATTTAGAGTTTGAAATAAAGTATCATACATTCATTAATCAGCAAACGCATTTCATCAAAAGTTCATTTACGTCTTCAATTTGGGTGCTTCTACTATCAGGTAGACATTTTCAACATAAGGCACACTGTATCAACATTTTTCAATTTTAGACAGATCTACAACTCAAACGCATGATTTATGTTCACAAATATAAAAGCTGAAAATGATTAGTTGTATATGCTATACACTTTATTTACTCATCATAAAGACACATCACAGACTCACACACACACACACACACACACACGCACACACACACGCACGCGCACACACACACACTCGCACACACTCATTTATTTATTATATTATGTATATAAATCTTGATAGCCCACCGTTGAGTTCAGCTTTCATTACTCTGATCACAAAACTACAGTTATAACAATGAAAACAACTGCACAAACATGCCCAAATATGGTGAGAAATTGCAATTTCCTAGAGTGCTCTAAAATTGTTCAGTGTGGAGTGTAGGCACAGGAACTAGGATTACAACAAGCAAATTATTTCGAAGGCTGACCGCACACAATCAGTTAGGAGTAACAAAGAATCCTCGAAAAGAGAAACACAACACAGAAGTCAACAGAGTAGTGGCGGGTTTGAATTTTTTGAAAATTGAGTCAACATATTCTGTTTGCTCAATTTTTAAACATTATGAACGTTATTAGTGAAAACACTGTTTCAAATTGAAAACTGAGAAGAATTTCTTACTTTTTGTCTTCACACACGACAAACTTTGGTTTCTTCCGGTAAAATTATCTAAAACCACCCTTGCACCAGATAGAAATCTATGATAATAACGTACAATATTACACATCAATAACATTCCAAGAGCGCGTTACTGAATGTATACTGATAAGCAAAGCGTAAGCAAATGTTTTATTTTTATAAAATGCGTGTGGCTGAACATTTGCTGCTAGACATATTTGTTAAGAACCAATTATTATTTTAAAAACTAATATTCAATATTTAATTTAAATTGAATTATTATTCGTTTATTCAATTATTATTTTAAAAACTAATATTCAATATTTAATTTATATTGAACAAAGACGTCTTTCATTAACTAACCAACCGACTAACAAAGAAGCCGAACAATTGAAGACACACAGTATTGAAGACTTCAGACCATTATATAACGAAGAGGTACATAAACAAGATTTAATTTTTCAACAGTGATGATGAAAAATGGTTGTCGAAAAAAACTTTTTATGTTTTTGTTATCAATAAGCTAGATAGAAATTCTGTATACAAAATTGAAAAGTTCGATAATGAACTTAAAATGAAAAACTCAATCTTAAATTGAATAACATCAATGTGGCTATAAGATTTTTTTAACAATTGCCCATCGCATAGTCTCAACTCTTTCTATTTTCGCCGAATTGTTGGCATTAATCTATTTAGTTTGTCTTTTTAATTTTCTTCACAAGAATTTGCTAGAAATTGTTCATTTTATTGGAAAAGAATTCTTATCCAAGATCATCATGAAAATTCAACTAAACTGGTGTTATCTAAATTGTTGTTTATGTGGTCAAATGCTCAGAGACACAAGATACAAGATATATAATACAATTCGAACACCGAAGATGGTATAGGTATACCGAAAAAAACATTTCTGTTCTATCATGTCTAAAACAAATAAAAATAAGCAATGCCAACAGCAATAAAAATGATGATGTTCCTTTAACCCGGCCACTCTATTCCATGCCAGGAATTTTACACTTTCTCCAGACTGAGTGGGCCAAATTTGAGATGGACCGCGCTCAGTGGGAGATTGATAAAGCGGAGTTACAGGTCAGGCGGAAAAATAGTGCTCAACTCTGCTAACATTTTTAATTTATAGCATTATTGACTACTTTTAATATAAAAGTTGTCGAGTTTTTATGAAAATTGTAAAACAAGATAAAGCTTAGGCCTTTTAACGGACCTAGGAAGATATATTTTAACTTTTGAATATTCAGTATCTTTTGTTGTTAGTCCACCATCTTAAACTTTTGCGATTATGTTTCAGTTATTTAATTGAATATATTAAGTTATTTAATGGTTTAGAGGATAAAAATTATAGAATTTTAAACTTTTACGACATGATGGAGGAACCGTTATCTGTTCATCAACTCGACCAGCCATTTAACACTTTAGGCGTTAGATTATCGGCAGGCAATGCCAACAGCAATAAAAATGATGATGTTCCTTTAACCCGGCCACTCTATTCCATGCCAGGAATTTTACACTTTCTCCAGACTGAGTGGGCCAAATTTGAGATGGACCGCGCTCAGTGGGAGATTGATAAAGCGGAGTTACAGGTCAGGCGGAAAAATAGTGCTCAACTCTGCTAACATTTTTAATTTAAACTTGTCATTGTCTTCGTTCGACTCGTGACCCTTTCAGTGCATCGATCTAATTCATCCTTCAGGTGCAGGCAGTGGCTCGACTGGCTGCACTCCTCTTTTAGTGGGTTCATAGGGTCCTAAAAAATAAAAATAAAAATGCTAAAAAAATCCAGTGCAATTGGTAGGACGGGCAACCGTCGAAATATATTTATACATATTTATATATAATAAGTTATATTATATATATGTATATATAAATATATATTATATGTTTTGTTATATATATGTATATATATATATATGTGTGTATTATATATATAATATAACATCATATATAATAGATTTAGTTATGATATTATTTAAATTATACGTTCTGCTAAGCAATAGTAAGCAATTGTGTATTTGTATTAACATAAATGTAATTGACATGTCAAACTGAATACTTTACTACTAAATTTCTTCGTCATACGACGGTAACTAACTGCTGAATCAATGCTGCTGGCTAGTTTTCTGTTATTTTAAATTCGAACTGTAAATTATACATTCCCACTGAATTTGTGGATTATATCATTGCTCAAACTGTTAAGGAGGTAATTTACATTTTATTTTATATAATGTGTAACTTTTATTCAGACTTGATTGATAACATCTAATTTTTAGAAGTTTTGAAAAGTTTCAATAGTTTCTTTTGAGTTTGATGGTTAGATATTATCATAAACTTAGAGCTTTTTTCAGAACCAAACTCAGGTGAAAACTAATCTGACCACATTTGGTTCATTTCAATTTCAAAGACCTTAAAACAATGTGTTATTTTGTCCACGGTTTTCATCCTGAGTGAACATATTTTTAAGCAATTTGTAAACATCTTCAAACAATTTTCAAACATCTAAAGCAGGAGGGTGGGTAAGCTACGGCCCGCGAGGCCTTGTACGTAATTACGTAATTTGACGAAAAAATAAAAATGCTAAAAAAATCCAGTGCAATTGATAGGACGGGCAACACGCAAGTACTTCTACCATCACATCTAACATTTTTTATTTATTCTTGGATATAGGCATAAAAAACTTGTCTTCTATATCTTTGTTTTTAAATAGTTTTTCATAAAAAAGTTTAATTTGACTAGCCGTTTAATTGGGACGTTCCATTAATGTTTATCATTTGTTGATTTATTAATATTGAATATAAACCAATAATTTTAAAGTTTTTTATTATAAAAAGTCAAGTAACTTAATTAAATTATTTTTCAAACGCTAGCATGATCGGTCGTAAAATATTCAACAATTTGAGTAAATGTTTCGGATTACAAATAGATCGTATAAATTTTAATGACAAACTAACACAAAAATGAACATAAACAAATTGAAATCATCATTTTTTGAAGTCATTGTTTTCAAATCGGTATGTCCAAACAGATGTTGAAAACATTCAGCAAGAAACATTATCCTGCAATGAATAATGTAATTTTTCGTAACTGAAGCATTTCAATTGTATAATCAATATCCTATCTGAAATATGAAAAGCAACTTGAATATGAATTGCTATAAACAACTGAAAACATTCATTGTAATGAAAATTGTTTTAAAAATAACGTTTCAAGTTGTCTTTAAATATTTTTAAAAGCATTGTGTCTGTAGAATCATATTAAAACGTCAACAATTATTTATCTGTTAACAATATAGTATTTGTTTCTTTTGAAAAAATTTATTTATGATTTATAAAGCTGCGTGGCATTTCGTGCTTTTGGTTGAGTATTTGTATGTGAAGATTCAGATTTCGAGACATGCGTTTGAACGGCAATAACATAAATGTAAAATAAATTGAAGATGTTAAATATGTAATAAATACTAACTAACTTATTATTATCTTAATAAAAACTACTCTGTTAACTTATTTCATTCCATATTTTATACTTTTGTACTTTCTGTCATATAAACTTATTGCATCATTAATATGTATATATGTATTTTTATATTGATCTATGAACTTAAGGATACCGAACCAGCTCTGCTTAATTAAAATTAAATAATAAAAATTAGTTGTTCAGTAAGACTTAAAATGGCTGTTAATATTCTTTTGACGATTTTAAGTCACTCTAAACTCCAAAAAACTTTTCAAAGTGTGATGTATTCTTTCCTTTCTTGACATATGTTATTCCCTAATTATTTTTTGCTTCAAGCATCTGTCACCCTTTTCTCTCCTATTCCGCAATCACTCGTGCATTTTCCTAACCTTCATTCGTTCGAAACCAGTGTGCATCCAAATTCAATTCAAACTTTTCAAGGTTTGTAATTTACTATCAGATCGTGTTCTTCATTAGAGTTAATAAGTTTGGTCTCATGTTTATTTATCAACATCTATTAGTCGTTGTACAAAAACTTATGCGTTTTTGACTACGTTTTGTATGAAATTGATTATATTTTGGTTAATATTTGGGTTAAGCAAAATTTTTTTAGAGACCAAACAAAGCCGAACATTATACGCAGCTCATAGCAAACTCTCTCCTTTTCACTCATCACACACACACATTCATACATAAGCACACTCATTCATAAATAGATCACAACACAAAAGCCCACACATAGTACATACCTCATTTAAGACCAGAAGACCATCAAGAAGTGGAGATGTTTAACATCTTTAAAATAAAATCTATACAATTATCTATCAATTTATACATTTATCAATTCAATATACAAGTTTTTCCTATATTTTTGAGTATGTGCAAATTATACTAGACTGAAGAAGTTTAAATCTTGTTTTTAAATATTATTGTTCTTTAAAAAATCAGAATCTGACAGAAGGAGAACCTGTTACAACAGGCAAGTTAATAATAATGAAAAGTAAATAACGGAGTAAAATGATTAAGCATGAGAATCATGGAAAGTGAAAAATTGATTTAAAAATACGAATAAGTGGAATAATTAATAAAGTTTCTAGTTAATGAATTAGTATGTAAGTTATGTGGCTGATAAGGGTAAAGAATGTTTATGGAGTAGAAATGTTAAAGCATTCATACATACACTTTCAAAAAGTTTTACAATCGCGTTAACACTTTATTTAGTTCCAGAATTATAGGATTCTATAAATGTTTTCTGTTGTTCATTTAACTGCAACAGAGCAGTTTAGCAGATATAAATCATTAAAAAAACACAATTTGGATATAAATTATTTTTTCCCAAAATAAAAAATGCCAACTTATCAAACAATGTACAAACACAATTTAATGCACAAAAGAAATTGAGCCAAAAATAATATTGACTTGATTCCATTTAAAACCTGTTGAACATGCATATTTAAAAATTCCTAACATGACAAACTTTTGCTCGCAAATGAAATCTGTTAGATCTTATATCATAACATGCGTTTTCAGATGAATTCGATTAACACTGTTTTTGTCTCTTTACATAATAAAGTAATAAAAGTAATCTTTCTGTGAACAGAATTGTAGTTCATCGTGTGTTTTTTTTTGTAATATGAATCATTTATTGTATGATTAGTGTAAAGTCACACAAAATTACGAAACGTATAAAACACACAAACACATAAATATACACTGACACGCACACACGCAAATGCAAATCCTGACCACTTTGATGCGGGCCAAAACTCAAATTTTTTGTAATTTTGCTGAAATGTGGTATTTCCAAATTTTAAGTTATTTAAAACTATTCTACCAAATTTTTGCAGTTTGTCTTTTCGATTTTGCCAACTATCCTCTTTATTGAAATATAATAAATATATATAAGTTTTTTTTATACCAACCAACATAAAATTTAATATATTATTAATCCTATCCCTTGCCGGGCTATCCCCACTATCTGGTTTTGTTCCTAAGCTAATATTAATCTATACGGTATTAATCTATACTATAATAGTAATCTATGCAGTAGTCCCTCGTGTAGAAAAGCTGATTTCGATTCTCTGATGCAGATGAAGATTACATAGCCTAGTAGTCAAGTCAGCCAGGTGCTGCTTCGCAGTACCAGCGGTGACCAGGTTCAAATACGACCGAAAGATCCCCGTCTTTCACATGCTTCGTGTATTCATGTGCGATGTTTGTAGGTTTTGTTCATTTTTCTGAATGAATCTGATTATTATAAGTTTTCATTGTTGGTCAGCAAAGCTGCTCTTCCCCTTTATTCAAATTTTGCACAACAACTGAAGATGATCTGTTAGGATCAAAATTCCTTAAAATAATTTGAAAAATCTTCAAAAGTTTGTTAAACTGGTTGTCTTTTAAATTCAAGTTTATTTCTAAGGGCCGTCATAAATATATGTGAATTTCATTTAAACCAATGCATAATATTCATTATGTGTGAAATGGCTAAAATTGATTCTCATAACTATATTAGGTGTTGATAGTATTATATTTGTTCGATTTTTAACGAAATTTGTCAGATATTTCTGACCCTTTAAATTTACTTTAGCAATATTTTTTTAAACAACAGTGACATATGGGTTATTTGGAATGGCTGGACATATGCATCATTGTTGCTTATTTTGTGGCCATTCTTTCAGTTGGACTACTGGTGGGTTGTTAACTAACAATTCTGAGCAATAGGGTCTGAATGATACATGTCTAATTTGTATGTTATATTCATTCAATCATTCATTCATTCATCCGTTATAGCGTTATGACAAAAACAACATTTTGAATTTATTTAATTAAGGCAATTTTTTAGTTTACTCATTATTTTATACTTTTTGTCAAACATCTGAGTCAAAAAGGCTGTACTATCCACACCACACGACGCACGTACACATTTTGTATGCACGGGCAAACATAGCATCATACGCGTATGATGGTCTTTGAGTTTCGCACAGACAGTATTTGAACCGTGCCATCCTGTAATAACAGCACGAAACATCGTACTTCAACCGACTGAGCTAACTCGCCGATCACAGACTAGCTAACAAATCAAATTTTGTAGAATGAATGATGTAGTAGAAAGTTTATTGATGAAAACATGAAATAATTTGGTAAAAAAATTTCCAGGCAACTTACTATGCAAACAAAAACAGTTCGCTCGGATTTTTCTTGGCCGGCAAGTCAATGACATTTATCCCAGTTAGTTCACACACATTATCCGTTCTTTGGTTAGATATATTATAAGCATATTCCATCTTTCATGGAAGTAGATAACTCGTGGAATAACGTTTACATTGCATGATGAATGATTATTATTAAATTTTTTTACCAAATTATTTTGATAACTAAAATTTTTAACGAATAAAACAAATTCAAGTTAGCGGGTTCCATATTTGCCAGCAACATGGGGGCTCCGAACGTGGTGGGTCTCAGCGGGTCAGCTGCTGCTTCAGGGTTTGCTCCCGTCATGTTTGAGTGGCAAGTTCGTTGTAAAATAATCAAACACATGTTTTTTTAATTATTTTAATTTTCAACATAATTTTCATTAATTTAAATTTCTATATATTATGCCTTTCCTTGTTATTAAATAGACTAGACGTTTGTAAAAAAAAAAAAAAAAAAAAAAAAAAACAATTTTTCGAAGTATTTTCATATCAAATTGGTTGGCCCTTTTCAACAGTTTCAAAATTGGCAAATTGTTTGCAGTTTTTCTGTTCGAAAATTTGAAGTTTTTTCTATTTCGTTATTTTGATTTTCAGTTTTTTTAATGGAATTATGTTTCTTTGTTTGTTTCTTCCAGGCAATAATGCA